TGCTCAGTCATATTCATAATAATAATTTATATTATTACTATTATGAATGAAAATTTTCGATGGAAGATTTTCACCCCTAACTATACTCGGGAACATGTGGAAATCGCAGACGTCCATATGTCGCGGGACGTCAGTTTCATATGCCAAGCCCGCTTGCCTGCCTGACTGATTAATAAATAACAGTGTGATATCTACTAAACAATTTTTAATGAAATCGCCAATTAGACCTTAACTGGCTGTTATCAGAGCAGAAAGCAAACATAGCCGAATTGACTAAATTGACACTTTGGCAAGCGATAGTTCCTATCAGCCCGCGTTCGGCATCAGTGCACTTTATCACATCATACTTATAAAATACATTATTATTGAATTAATTTTCAAAACGTTTAATTTGTTTTCGTTTCGATTACTTTGTGATTAAATAAACACGTTGTCGTTGATAACATGTTATGTTCGCTAAAGATTATTTGTAACAAATGGTATTCTCTTAAATATAATTTTGTATTTTTCACATTGGAAATATAATTTAAAATAATTACGCTGTTGTAAATCGTTTTTTGATTTATTTGAATAGTAATCAGAATATAAAAGCCTTATAAACTGTAGTCATTTCACTTGACTACGTCACTTTTTCAGAAGGCAACCCAACGGTTGGTCCTTCTATATTTGATGAAGTTATCATTACAATTTCTCTAATACAGATGAATTTTTCATAGCTGCAGCAATACCCAAATAAAGTCGAAAGGGTATTCCCACTTAGAAACATATTGCTATCTATATTTCCAAGGCAAAACCAAATACACTACTGCTTGATATCAGGCTATCCGTGGCTGGTATCAAACCTGAAACTTTTGATTAAAATCCCAAGCTTAAAACACGAATTCACGGGGGAGCTCATAAGTAAAATTTAAATTCACGAATAACTACATGTCTTCAGTTTATCATAGCAATTTTTTTCTTTATATTGCATACGATATTCAATTCTGGGGTTTACTACGTAGTTAATAAAAATATTTAAGCTTCAGAAAAAAGCATTGCGTATAACTTTTTCTTTATCCGGTAAAACCATTTTCCAAAAATTCTATTGTTAACATTATCTTTTATCAAAAATAATTCGGAACTTTTAAGTATGAATTCAACCTCCTCCAATTATAGCACTTGTTAGGTATTCAACTCAGGAATAAGCTTAATTAGCCAAATTTAGACAATAAAAAATTACATGCTAATTTAATTAAACTTTTTAAAGGCTTTGCTCTTATTATATTGCAGGTTCACACTACACGATTCCAATAAATATTTTTATACCGACTTTTATAAATATTATCTAAAAAAATTGACTATATTACATTGAATATTAAAATATTATAGAGTAGAACGGGGCTTAAAGGTCCCGTGGTAAAAAATTTCATCGCCGACATCTCAAAAACAAGTAAGAACGACAATTTTTGAAATAAAGAGCAAAAGATGTAAAACCAGTTATCACTTTGATTCCACCAAAGTCGCTATAAAGAGGTAAAAAGGGCCATGTATCAATATTCATAACAATAGTATTTTTTCTCGTTGGTAGTTTTTTGGTTTTGAGCCCATTTCGTTAGTGTTTAATAAATAAATATAATTTTTAAATATACGTTATTTAATTGTTTTATAAGGAGTATGTTAATTCTAAGCTAGATTCAACAGTTTGTTTTATAAAAAGCATACATGTGGGTGGAGTAAAAAGTTCCAAGTAAATCTTTACATTGGCAGAGGTATAAATAATAAGAAAATTACAAGAGATATTATATTAATAGTTATGCCAACTCTGCTGATGAATATTTTTGACAAATTATTAGATCAAGATTACATACAGTATGATTTTTGTAAAAAAATACGCTCATAAAGTATTACAGAAATTGCAATAATAAAAAAAACATCACATAAAGAAAGGACATTCGTTTGGGTTGCTATCTGTAAAATCGACGTAGTCTTAAGTCAAATCAGAAAAAAATCAATTAAGAAAATCATATAAATCCTAACACTATTTGCTGATTTCAATTCATGTATCATTCATCTCATTAACTAAACTAAAATTACAACATCATTTTTGTTAAGATTATACATAGCTTGCTTACAACGTACCTGTGCCAGTCGCTGTGAATTTACTTCAAATTTTAAATGTATCTATTTATTTGAAAGTTTCTTAAATAAAGCCAATAAATAAAAATTAAGGAATGCTCTACGTTCTCGTTTTGCCAATACGGCGGTGTTTTCCACTCGATGCAAAGATGTTGATTAAAATGCGGGGTCTGAATACAAATACGAAAACATCACTCCGTCTTCATTAGGTCGACTTATGTAAATACAATTTATACATTTTGCGCACTGTTTTACGTACCTTGCAGTCGAGATTTATTTATATGCATGTATATATAGAGTAGGCCAGGGCACAAAGGTCCATTTTGACTTTCAATAATTATACTGTCTGAACTAAATGAACTACATCACAACACTTAGCACGTATCAAACAAACAACTATCAAACTATGTTCAGTAAAATGCTCAGTTAATTCCTAATTAAAGAAATATATTTTTAGCTATTTTCTAAAATTTGTTACTTGTGCCTTTTTATTACATAGGCTGGGTGAGAAGAGACAGCCATCAGGCTGTCATATCTCATATTTAATTTTAAAGCAATTATACAAAATAATAGCTTAATTATTTAATCAATGCAAAATAAAAATTTCATGGGCATATTATTTACAAGGATTACACCTTTAGATTATTACTTTTTTTAGATATAAGTATACATATAAGGATTACACAGTATACAACCTTGATCTGGTATTTCGTAACAAATATTTATCAGAATTGCCTGGATAACTATTTTATTTATCTCTTGTAGAATAGCTTTTTAACACTTTTGCCGAGGTAAAGGTTCAATTAGTCCTTTTTGCCCAGCCCAGATGTAAGCTTTTACAGGGGTTATATAAATAAGTGTTAAATATTACTTCATAATAACAATAAATCTCATTAAATGTTAAGTCAATTAAATAACTTACACTCAAAAACTATTAAAAAAGTATATTAAAGTATCGTAAACTAAAAAAACAGTATCGACAACCAAAAAACTAAAAACAAAAAAATATACTTTTGTTATGGATTTATACATTTCCGTTTACCTCCTAATAGCGACGAAGTGAGAATCAAGGTGATGGCTGGTTATACATTTTTGCCCTCTACTTTCAAATATTGTTGTAAAAAAAATCCTAACTTTACTTGTTTTTGAGATATCGATGGTGGACTCTTTACCGGCGGACCTTTAAGCCTCGCTCTACCCTATATATATATATATATATATATATATAACTGCTTGAAAAAAAGGCATATTGAATGAAAGTCTAACTTTAAAAATATTTATATCTGCAAAAATAAAAAGTAGTTTGAGCATCCCTTACAAATAGTCTTTTATGCACCCAATGAAATTGGATTGGATTGAAGTTAATATCTTACGCACCTGATCCTACTACTAAATTTATTGCTTTTTTTAAGTTCTCGTTCGTACAGAAACATGCTTGTACTTTTTCTATCGATGTATTGATAGCAAATTAAACTTGATGCAAAAATTATTCCAAAATAAATAATTTGATACAAGTGAAATTTACGAAAACTCGCATTAGGAAAATCAGAATTAGTATTTCCGTAACTATTAGTTTCGAAATTCTGAAAAATTTAGCATACTCGTTGTAAAAAAAAAACAAAATAATAGTTTAAGCACTAGGCGTTATACAATTAATTGATATTTTTTCTCAATTCAAAAAGCCGATCGAAAGATTTTGGTTGGTACTTATGTTAATTTTATTTAATCAAATACAATTTTCCATATAGATTTTCAATTAAATTCAATTAAAACTAACGTCGAATTAGTCAGAGATCATCATAAAAAATAACTATAACAAAAAAACAATCATGGTAAGGAGATGTCCATTAATCATATTTGGTTCAAAGGGAGAAGAAAGAGTTTGGCAAAAAATCACGAACTATGACTTGGGGGAGGAACGGGAGGTCTCGTAAAATATAACGCATATTGATTTTCTACCTGCATTAAAAAAACCTAAAGTCTTCAAATAAAAATAATTATACAAAATTTTACCATTTTTCTAAGTACAGAAAATACGCCGCGTATTATACGCGCAATGTTAGGTAAGGGAGGGAGGTTAATTTTAAATATGATTCAAAAAATTGATTACGTGATTAATGAACGGCACCTAATGTTGCTCAAGTCGAACCACTGCTTAAGTTAGTAATTTCCAACCTTTTTCGCACCACGAGCCTCTTTTCTAATAAAGAAAAATGTCAGGCCTCCCTTAAGTAACAACCCGTATGGTAAATTATTGTAATCGTCCAAGAATCAAAATTGAAAATTTTTGCATATATTCACGTTTTAAAAGTTTCTGAATATTTTGGCATACCTCAGAAAAAAATGGATGTGTGTGCGTTTGTGTATGAATGTATGTATGGATACAATTCTTCATCAACGTTTTCGGGCGCACGTAACAACGGTTTGAATGGTTCCAAAAACGTTCGATTCCTATTGATAGGGAGATATGCTGATTAGTTTTTAGTAAAGGCAGATCCAACCATTTCAAAAATAGAAATCGAGTTTTTGAGAGAACGGAGCATCCGATTACTACACCACTAGTCCGATCTTTAGATCGATGATCGATGAGTCTATCTGATTTTTCAATCTTAATTCTTATTTATAAAATTGATTATGTTATGTGTATCGAGAAATTAATGCAACTTGCCTTAAGGCAAAATGCTAATTACAATTAGTTTAAATATTGAGGCCCATAAGATGCAATCAATGGGCCTTCCAAAAATATATAACCGTCAGATGGTCAGATGGAATTTGATGAAAAAACGGACATTGTCAGGGTATATAAGTATATATGTACGCTGTACTTCGCGGCACGAGTTAATAAACCAAAGACACTGTTGCGAAAATATTATAATAAATCTTACCTTTGACAGACCGATGTTTGGAAATTTATCAAAGGACAAAGAATATGATTCTCCCGTGGCAGCTTTAGTTTTCTGTCCTTTATATATTCTACTTGCTGTTATTGTAGTCATCCCCATTCCATCGCCAATCATGATCACCACATTTTTGGCAACTGGGGATCTCGATTCTTTCATTTGCAGCACTCTTTTCAAATTATCTTGGCCCACTTTCAACCAAAAATTTGTGTCTGGAAATACATGAGGTTACATATTTCAACTGCTTAATTTATTTAACTGAAAATGATTGTTTTTTAACTTCCCGTAGGGCAAGTTATATCAATCGCAAAAAAAATCGAAAATTAAAATTTTTATATATCATTACGTTTCAAAGGTTGCTGAATATTTTGGCATACCTTAAAAAAAATAGATGTATGTATGTGTGTGTGTGCGTGTGTGCGGATACAAATTTTTGTCGACGATTTCGGGAACACCGATCTACCGGTTTGAATAATTCAAAAAAACATTCGATTCGTATTGATAAGGAGACGATTAGTTTTTGGCGAAGGCAGGTCTAGTCGTTCCAAAGATACGGGAATTTGGCGGTCAAAAATGATCATTAGACATATGCACATCAAATTATCAGATATTTTAACAATTTTGTAACAATTTTGTTTACATTCCTATGAGTTCCGTAACAATGTTTATCCGTAAGACGGCGACGCGCTTCGATATTTTGTCTCTATGCAGTTAAAGCAGTACGATTGATTTGAAAAAAAGTTCAGAATTTCCAAAATATTTCTAAATGAATTTTACTTCAAAAAGTCTTTTTTTTTTCAAAAGGTTTTGAAACAAAGATATATAAAAATTTTCATTTTCGATTTTTTTGCGATTACTATAACTTGCCCTACGGAAAGTTAAAAAATCACGCAGCAGATATTTAAAAGATATCTTACGATTAATATAATTTCAAGACAATAAATTTTAAATTCGTAATACTATATTACTATTAAAATTCATAAAATCTGTATATTATAACTTTTTTACAAATTATAGTGTTCAATTGTATTAAAACTAATTAAAACTAATTCTATATACCATAGGTGGGGAACCTGCGGCCTCGAGGCCGCATGCGACCTCCTAGGGGTTCCTGTGCGGCCCCCCCTTGCCTTCTAGTACAAATTAGTAGAGTTACTTTCAAACAACTATTTTACAAAAATCCCACCAAAAACAGTCATATTGTAACATGACATCAGATTACTAGCCTGAAACACAGACTCTTAGGCAGATACGAAATAAAGATGTAATATATTATATTAATATTATTCAATATAAGCAATATTTTCGATTTTGCAAGACATCGCCTATTATACGATTCAAAAATTATGATAAAAAAATTAACAGTGCAAAAGAATTGTTAGCACCCGGGTTGAAGATTTTTATGCGTATCTGTAGTAAAATGATAAAAATTTATACTTCTTGCAACCAAAAGCAAATCCGCAGCTTTGGCGGAGATCGGAGCAACCAGATTTTACCTAGATATATTGGCAATTTTATGAGACCATAGTTATAAAATGACACAAAACTATACCTTTTTTCATAAAATACAAAAATATATTTTTAAAAATCGCTGTAGGCAAAATATGTGTCCGTATCTATATGCACATAATATATAGAATTTATTTATATTTAAATCTTGAAATATAAATATAGAGTAAGGTATTTGAAATAAGAACAACTCAAATGCAAAATATAAAGTAACTAGCTGTAAGTGGAATTCTGTCTTAAGGCAATTAAGGCATCGTGCCTTAAGGCAAATTGCTGGAACTTCCCGTACCAAAAATTATTATTTTTTCAAAAACGATTAACATTTTTGAAAAAAATTTACTTTAAAAAAATAAAATTTTTGAGAAACTATAAATTGGACAAAAAATTACTTTTTTTTGAAAAAAATTAAAAAAAAAAAATAAATTTTTTTTAAAATTTTTTTTTTGAAAAAAAAAATTTTTTTTAAAATTTTTTTTTTGAAAAAAAAATTTTTTTTCTTTATTTTGACATTCTGTGGAAGATCTGAACTTTTTTTTCAAAGCAATCGTACTGCTTTAACTGCTTAGGGACAAAATATAAAGCGCGTAAGCGCCGCGTCGCTGTCTAACGCATAAGCATTGATACGGAACCCATAGGAATGTTAACAAAATGTATACTTATTGTTAAAATCTCTATAAAATATCTGATAATTTGATGTGCATTTGTCTAATGATCATTTTTGACCGCCAAATGGCTCATTTTTTTACTTTTTAATCCATATCTCCGAAACCGCTAGACGTACCTTCATGAAAATTTTATCGATTCTTCATCTTGTCAATACAAGTGAAATGTTTTAAAAAATTATTCAAATCGGACGCTCCGTTCTCTTAAAAACTGAGTAACCGTTTTCGGTACTTTTTGCCCCATATCTTCGGAACGGCTTGACCTGCCTTCGCCAAAAACTAATCAGCACGTCTCCTTATCAATACGAATCGAATGTTTTTTGAATTATTCAAATCGGTTGATCCGTGTTCCCGAAATCGTCGACAAAAATTTGTATCCGCACATACATACACACATACATACACACACACATACACACACACATACATCCATTTTTTCTAAGGTATGCCAAAATGTTCACAAATCTCTGAAACGTAAAGATATATAAAAATTTTCATTTTCGATTTTTTTGCGATTACTATAACTTGTCCTACGGGAAGTTAACAATACATTTTGTGCATAATAAATACATATTTTAATTAAAATATTTCTTTCACGTTTATTATTGTGAGTTTATGCATTAAAACAATTATGAGTTTATACATTAATACAAATAAAACGCTTATTTTCATGGGTAAACAATATCATTCTCTAAATGGATTAGGTACATCATTTATTAATAATATTTTTCAAATTATATTTATAATTGTCTTTCAATAGTGTCTAGGTACATTTCTTTTGGAAAGAGGTAACGTTGCGTTTAATGCATTAATCCTATTTTTTTTATAACAACCATTGTTCTTAATAGTAACAACAGAAATGTCCATACCGAAAGTTCACAAATAAATTTAATCTGGCTTTTACAAAGCCCGAAATTCCCTAAATTAACCGTTAACACCTTAGTTTTCAAAATAAAAATCTATCAGTCAATTCATTGGTATAACAAAAATATATAATTTCTTAATTCAAATAATTATGTAACAATAATAATACGGAAATCAAATTCAAATCAAAAGACTTTAATATCATTTTCATATAAAAAATGAATGTTTAAATGAAATTAAAACGAACTAAAATATTTATAATTTATTTAAAATTTAATTTATAAAATATTTAAATTTTTGAAGTATTTTATTTACTTTCTTCTATATAATGCAATAAATTGTTAAAACTATAAACATACTATAATTATTTCACAAAAATCACTTTTTTAGGTCAATCAGCTTATGCGGCCTCTTTTATTGCTGTCTAGTTTAAGTGTGGCCTCTAACGGCAAAAAGGTTCCCCACCTCTGCTATATACTATCTGAATGTATAAATAAGCAAAGTAGCTAACCAAAAACAATTCGAGTTTTATATCCTAATACTAAATAAAACAGCACTTCATTACTTCATGGTATGAAGATATAAAATGAATATTTAAAAACACGTGGCTGAATTAGACAAAAATTGTTCTGAAAAAAAAAAAATTGATTTTTAAAACCAACGATTATGGGTTTCGTTTGTTATTCGGGTTCAGATTCAACTAAATATGCGTATGCCATGAATTCAAACTCGCAAACAAGTGACAATGCATATTTAATTTTTTATAACATAATTTCAGATCAAAATTTTATTTTTCAAATTTTCTTACTTTCTTCTTATAAAAATTATTTAAGTTACAAAATTGACTTCGCTTGATTTCGCTAATCAAACAAAATCATGGAATGAGGAACTAAGTAATCAAATAAAAAACATCGTTTATCACAAAGCACTACAATAAAAATTGAACTGATTTTTGAATTATGATTTACATGATTAAAATTACTTTCTTTTAAATGCTTATAGTGTTTTATTTAATAATTTTTAATTCACATCGAATTATTACCAGGGTGACGGTTCTGTTCAGGATAATTTTTTGCAAAAAATAGAAAAAAGGTAAGAACAAAACACCGCCACATTACAAATTTTTTTGACAGGACGAAGTTTGTCGGGTCGGCTAGTTTTCATAAAATACCAGATCTAGGTTATATAAGAAAATAGAGAATTAAGAAGAAGTTAAATTAAAAAAAACAATTTTACAAAAGATAAATTAAATTAATAGATATTCCATTTCTTTTGACTAATATTTTTCATAAAATACCACATCAAAATTATATAATACATTGATTGAATAATTTAGGTATTATTTTGTAAAACCCTTTTAAAATGTAGAATAAGACTTTGTATTTGTTTGACTGGTGGCTGCCCCTTTTTACTCAGCTTATACTGTAAAAAAGGACTGGTGACAAGTTTTAAGAAAATAGCTAAATACATATTCATATTACTATAATTATATTATTACTATAATTAGAAATTCATTGGAAATTTTACTGATCATAGTTCGATGAATATTTATTTGATACGTGTTAATTGTTGTAATGTAGTTAGTTTGTTTTAGACAGTATGATTACTGAGAGTCAAATTGAACCTAAGTGCCCCCTCCGCACTCTATTAAAATTTCTTCTACAGAATATACGAGGTCTGTTCAAAAAGTACCCGGAATTTTCGTTTTTTCAAAAAAATATTTATTTATTCGTCTACATTAATGTGGTCCCCTTCAAAGTAGTCCCCCCCAGATATAATACACTTATGCCAGCGTTTTTTCCAATTTTCGAAGCACCCTTGATATTCACTTTTTGATATGTCCTTGAGCACTCTCAGCGATTTTCTTCAATCGAGGAAAACCGCCGTCCTTTCATGGGTCTCTTCAACTTTGGGAATAGGAAAAAGTCACACGGAGCCATATCTGGTGAATTTTTGCACTTTGCAACACTTTATTTCATTTTTTACGCAAAATTTAATACAAATTCTTTGACTTTTCAATTCTTCCATTGTAAAAATCGCCGAGCTCAGAAAAACACGTCGAACCTTAGCGACTACCACAGACAAAGTAAACAGTGAATATAGCTGAAAATTTCATCATACTTTAGGGGCATGTATACCAACACAATAAAAAAAAAATTTGACAATCAGACACTCCAGACCCGCGAAATTTAATTATTAGTAATTCCGGGTACTTTTTGAACACACCTCGTAATATGGTACCTGTAGGTATCAGTAAGCGCAATCGAAGGTTACATGGTGTTGGAAACGTGGAAATTGAGGCGTGGCGGAGAACTCACAGGCAATGGCGTCGTACAGCAGGTTGATTTGCGACGCTTTTGCCGTTGCCGACTGCGCTTAAATCGCCTTACCCGCTGTTCCAGCTCCAGGCTGGTTGCGACGTTTCTCTTCGCGACGCCATTTCGCTCGACGGTTGGAAAACCATACCTAAAAATAATATATTGAATACTGAATAATTTATAACACTCTTTGTCTTATTTTATTTACGACAATTGAAATGAGTTTTGTAAATAAATTTTAAAAATTACCTGAATTCGCGCTTCCGGTAAAATAATTTTATCCGCCAATCGTTCTCTTGCGAGGAGGTCCGGGTAGTGATTCCTCTCAAACTCTAAATTGCAATAATAAATTTAAACAATATAAAATTTTGCATACGTATTAAAAAATAAATACAAATTGATAAAAAATTAAGCATAATATATCTAGATTAGTTGAAAAATTAGGCATGATATATCTAGATTAGTTGAAATGTACCATTTTGTAAAATTTCTATCTGTTCGTTTGTGTAGGAAGTACGATACCGGTGCAGTTGTTGTGTTATTTGCGATTGTGCCTGGTCATCATCTTGTCCTATAACAGATCCAGGGTTAGAATTTATTTCAGATACCGCTTCTTCGGAACAGTGTCCATTATCTTGATCAGTTACTAAAAAAATTATGGGTTTAATTTTAATTAACTTATGGCTGTACATGTCATATATATATATATATATATATATATATATATATATATATATATATATTTGGAAATATGAACAAACAACACTTTTTTGCACTAATTTATTAAATAATAATTTTCACAAACGTTTCGAGACTAGGTTTGTCTCATCATCAGTGTGTTATAATTTAAAATTTAAAATATGGAAACCTAAATTAGCATTATATGTTATCCGTTACAAGTCATTCAATATACTGTCTTCTGTATGCCACCAACGATCGTCGGAGTCCGAATTCTCTATTCAATTTCAAGTGGTTAGTCACGCAATATCAAATAGGAAAGAAAGGATTAGAGCCCAGTTGAAAAATAGATGCATGTTGTTAGGAGAAAAAATATTCTATGATATGAGACGGTTCGTCCAAAAAATTTGTTTTAAATTATTATAATTAAATATATATATATATATATATATATATACAGTGGCGGCAATGGCAATATATATATATATATATATATATATATTGTTAGGGCTATCCACCCTTTTGCAATAATTATAAATAATATTATAAATTCTATATAACAGTCAAATATGAAAGACGCAATATACGTTGTTGACTCACAGCTCATAGATTGTATCAGAGATAAGCAACATTGTATGCAAGCCTGTAACGGTTTCTTCGACGGACAAAACCACAAATTGCGTCTAAAATAAATAGTTGAGTCATTCAAACTTTTTCTGGACGGGTGGTTACGTCATCATCAGAGATTATAAAAAGCCTGAGGATTACGGAATCAGTGTTCATTCTAAGTCCAGTTTCCAAACAGTTCACATCAGTCTTATTTCAAAATATTAATTGTGTATTAAGTTGTAATCAAGTGTAACCGAATAATGAAGTAAATAAAGTTAATAAACGTCTTCAAATGTTTAATTAAATATTTCCACAGTGATTAAAGCGTTAGCAGCAGAAGAACCTAATTATAAATGTTGACATCGTTGGCGTGACGCAGTGTTGGGATCTCAACATAATTGTTGTTAGTTCAAGGGTGCACAACATCATTTGGTGGCAGTGTGGGATTCTGCGAATTTTTTTTTATAAAAAATGCTAAGGTATTTACCATAACATGTTTTGAACATAGAATTATCGCATACTTAGAAAACGGATATTTGGAAAAATACGCTGAAGTATAGCAATAATTAGATTCAAAAAACGGTGAGAAGCTTTACCGAAAGTGGAAATATCAGTGAAACTACAAAGTGAAGACTCCAAGAAACAAGAATCGAAAGAAATCAAGTACTACAAAAATCAAGAAATCGAGAATTTAATCAAAGTATAAAGAGATATAATTAAGAATCTATAAAGAAGAATTTCTAAGAATCGTAACAAGAAGAAACAAGAAAATCAAATCAAGAATCAAGAAGCAAGAAAAGAGAAAGAAGATAATACAAATCAAGAAACAAGAATCGAGAAGTTCAAGTGTTATATTTACAAGTGAAAAATCAAAGGTGAAAAATCAAAGGTGAAAACTAAAATAAAAGTGTTATGAAAAAGTGATACAAATCATTGAGTGAAATCGAGTGAACCAGAAGGATATTCAATTAAAAAAGGATTACAACTCATTGTCAGTAAGCTAATTTTTAATATATTTTTGTAAATTTTTGCGCTTCTGTTTTAATAGTTCTACATATCTTTTCAAAAATGAATGAACCAGTCGATATGTCGCGCGAAGATAAATTAAGTATTCAAACTGCTATTGCTTTAATCCCGAATTTCAATGGGGAACCTTCAAATCTTCCTTCATTCATTACAGCTTGTGATGCTTTGTCGGTGGATTTGAATCCATCAGAAGCGGAAAAATTGCTTACAGTCATAAAATTGAAATTAGACCCACAAATTTTCGCAAAAATCCAATTTATTAATTTTGAAACGTGGGATGATTTAAAATGTTATTTAGCTAAAGAATATGTTGTAAAAAGATCCAGGGTTAGAATTTATTTCAGATACCGCTTCTTCGGAACAGTGTCCATTATCTTGATCAGTTACTAAAAAAATTATGGGTTTAATTTTAATTAACTTATGGCTGTACATGTCATATATATATATATATATATATATATATATATTTGGAAATATGAACAAACAACACTTTTTTGCACTAATTTATTAAATAATAATTTTCACAAACGTTTCGAGACTAGGTTTGTCTCATCATCAGTGTGTTATAATTTAAAATTTAAAATATGGAAACCTAAATTAGCATTATATGTTATCCGTTACAAGTCATTCAATATACTGTCTTCTGTATGCCACCAACGATCGTCGGAGTCCGAATTCTCTATTCAATTTCAAGTGGTTAGTCACGCAATATCAAATAGGAAAGAAAGGATTAGAGCCCAGTTGAAAAATAGATGCATGTTGTTAGGAGAAAAAATATTCTATGATATGAGACGGTTCGTTCAAAAAATTTGTTTTAAATTATTATAATTAAATATATATATATATATATATATATATATATATATATATATACAGTGGCGGCGCTAGACCATTTGTAGGCGTCGGCGAAATTCGTTTGCGAGGCCCCCCTTTATTTCCAAATAAAGTTGACTAGTGATGTCTGGCATCGTGCCTTAGGAAAAATTTAGAAGTTTTTTGAAAAATGTTTTTTTTATTTGAAATATTTTTATACTTTGAAATTGAAATTTTCGAACTTTTTTTCGAAGCAATCACGCTGCGTTAGCTGCTTAGAGACAAAATATCGTACATTGGTTCCGAACGCATAGTAATGTAAACGAAATTTGTACTTATTAATAACATTTTTTATAAAATAACCGATAATTTGATGTGCATATGTCTAATGATCATTTTTGTCCGCCAAATGGCTTTGCTTTTACTATTTTTTATTAAATCTGCAAAACCGCCTATTGAATCTGCAAACCGGAAGGCGATTGAATCTGCAATCCTAAAAATTTAACCATTTCTTTATTTTGTTAATACAAATAAAATGTTATTTGAATCATTCAAATCGGACGCTCCATTTTTTTAAAGACTGAAATACAATTTGGCACTTTTTGCTCCGTATATTTGCCCTGCCTTTGCCAAAAACTAATCACCACGCCATCAATACAAATCAATTGTTTTCTGAACTTTTCAAATTGATTGATCCGTGTTCACAAAATCGTCGACGAAAATTTGTTTCCGCGCATATATACATACATACACACATATACATCAATTTTTCTTAAGGTGTGCCAAAATGTTTAGAAACCTTCTAACAAAAAGATGTAGGAAAATTTTCATTCTCGATTTTTTCGATTACTATAACATATCCCACGGGAAGTTAAAAATTACACAAGTTAAAATAAACAAACTCTTCGGCAAAAATAGTTTGTTCTTCAGATATTATAAAAACACTGAAATTAAATAATTATTCCGAAGAAGTTTCTTTCATGCCAAATCATTCGATTAGCCAATTTTATAAATCTTCTTATGAAGTTCTTCCCTACGATTATAATTATTGGTTAATTTTATTCCTTACATATAAATCATTGGTTAATTTTATTCCTTGAATATTTAATTACTGTTTGGATTTGGACATTATGATACCTACTCATAAGAATTCCCAGAAGGAATTTAATGATTTACATTATTTTCACATAAGAAACAACCAAACAAATATAAACAATCAGAGAATTAGCCTTCTCGCGCGAAGTTGTTCAGATTTAATGATTTATAGTGTTGAGAGACAATATTAAATAGTGTCCAATAGAGATAAGAGAGTAAAATTATAGTGTCCGTAAACCACTAATTATTTTCTTTACTTGCATATCAGTATGAAAAAAACTAAATAAAAATGAAAAACTAAATTTTTAATAATTAAAATTTTTCCAGGGTCTCCTGGAAACTCCTGGGCCGACACCGCCGATGCCTAGCACCGCTACTGTATATATATATATATATATATATATATATATATATATACTAGCTGACCCGACAGACGTTGTTCTGTACCCAAGCCTACAATTTTACAATATTTTATACTAATATTTACTGCTTAGTTAAAAATAATAATTACTGTTTTTTGAATTACTATTTACACCAATATATGAGTGATGTTGAATGTAGAACTGTTTCAAATAAAATGATTCTTCTCAATTCCCACAGTTAACACTTTAATTATTCATTTAACAAATATTAAAAAATGTTCAATAAAATTGTATATTAAAAATTATACACTGCGATTTATAGAATATATATGCGGCATAATACTATATAGCATAATTTTGTTGATCGTAAGTTGAATAGAGCACATGTGAACAGGATTTGACAAATTAATTTACTTCAAATATAAACTTAAGCAATAATGTATATTGATTTATTAGTGAAAAAAATGTAATTTAGATATTAAAATTACTAAAAGCCAGTTAAAATATGGTACAAAATTATAAAAGTTATAGGCAACATTATTGAAGCAATTATTTTGGGTAGAAAAATAAAAGGTGATATTGCACCTTTGCCGCGAATGCTATATAGTAATTCTTTCTGAATTTGTTGTACTTTTTAAAAGATTTCAATTTTCAACACGTGTATGTTATGCTGTGACATAAATCACAAAGGCAGACGATCATTTTTAGTGTGATAAATTTGGAAAATCAATGTTTTAGTCGTGAATAAACAAAAAATCATTCATTTATACATTCACATCTACAGGTATGACTAAAAATACTATATAACCCTTAAACGCAATAAAATAAATTGAGCTATTGGAAATTTTGTTCTATAAATCGCAGTGTATAATTTTTAATATACAATTTTATTGAACATTTTTTAATATTTGTGCTCTGTGAATTTTTTTACTGTGCTCCAATTTACTTGATATTTTGGAAATAGGCTAATCTTTATCTTAAGTTCAGAAGTGAAAACAATTTGCACTACGTCACCATCCACCGCATTAATTGGATTATTAATCTTTTAATTCTGATTTTATCAGAACTTGTAATACACTATTTTAAAGGTGATTAAATGAGCTACAACTTTCTTTATCATAAATTTTACCGTAACTTCTCTTATTGTGAAACGGCGAAGAAAAATAATAAACAACAATAATTAGTCAGAAAAATACCTCGAATTTTCATGAATATATATATACCTTTATACGTATTCTTTCAGAGATATTATAATGAGAAATTGGATTTTTTTAATGTTTTTTTATGAAATCATGAGTTTTTTGAAAATCGTTTGTACCAAAGTTGTGGTCTTTTCTAGAATCCATCAAGATCTCTTAAACCAAGTTAATTCTAGATGGAATACCATTATTTTTAAATTTGGTGGAAATGGCACTGAAAAACTATTTTATTTAAATGAAAAAACATTATATGCGTCTTTTATTTGCATGATAGTTTACTCATTTTACACGCAGAAGTACTCATTTTAAAGCTTATTTTTAGCACTATAAAGACCCATTTTTATATCTAGCCTAATAATGTTCCTAAAACACTATAAAATAGCAATTTATTAAGATTTTAATTGATATAATTTTGTTCATTACATGATTTACGTTAAAATGTATATTTTTGAAGATATTAGCAAAAAATGATGAAAAACGCAAAAAAGAAACAAATTTTCAGTAGCCAGTAACTTGAAAAGTATATGCTTTTTTGAAAACGTTATTAAACATTTTTCTCTTATAATTAGTTCTTTTATCGATACCCAACGTTATTTTGAAAAAAGTAAAATTACACCAGTGAAAAGAAATGTCATCCACCCAAGAAGTGGTAAAGGAGTCTAAATTGTTTTCACTTCTGAAGAGTAAGATGAACCTAGTTCCAAAATTCCAAACGAATTGAAAAACAGTAAAAAAAGTTCAGACCGAAAGCGCTCCATTGAGTAAATATTTCGTACCCAATGCCAAACATATGATTTTTTGACACAATGAAACGTCTAAATATTTTTTTTTGTATTGTGACTTACAATTAGTATAGTGAGGCAAATTGAAAAAACGACTGCAAATTGAATATTTTTGAGCGCAATCACTTATGGCTCGTCTCAATTGCACGAATTCGTACGGCGAATCTCTTCGCAAAGTGCGCAAACAAAATTATTGCAAGCAAAGGTAATCCACGCGCACCTTGAGAACACGATTCGCCGTGCGCGTCAGACGCATGTTATATTATTTGCATCTAATATTAATTTAATTTTTGGCACATCTCAGCTTCTTTTCGGCATTAATAATGTAGACATTACATTTTCCTTATTCATAATTATGAATTTGTTATATTTTAATATTGCCTTAGCCTATAAGTGAACAGAAATGTTTGGCAAATGACAGTCTTCAATTGTTTATAATGTCAAACTAAGCTTCAAATATTTTCAAGGGCAAACAATGATAAGCGGTTTTTTGTAATTTTTTCCATTTATTTCTACAATCTAACTATATTTCTATGAATCAAAACATTCTAGAAAATTTCCCGAACAAACTTCAGGAAGATTCATGAAAATCCGAATTATAGTTTAGGAGGACTAATGAAACTTACATTGTTACAGAAGAATTTTATATATAAGATATATATATATATATATATATATATATATATATATATATACAAATGCATGCCCATAGTACAAACATAACATTTACAAATACATATATACCCACAACATACACATACATGCATATATACACACATATATACATATATATATATATATATATATATATATATATATATATATTGTTAGGGCTATCCACCCTTTTGCAATAATTATAAATAATATTATAAATTCTATATAACAGTCAAATATGAAAGACGCAATATACGTTGTTGACTCACAGCTCATAGATTGTATCAGAGATAAGCAACATTGTATGCAAGCCTGTAACGGTTTCTTCGACGGACAAAACCACAAATTGCGTCTAAAATAAATAGTTGAGTCATTCAAACTTTTTCTGGACGGGTGGTTACGTCATCATCAGAGATTATAAAAAGCCTGAGGATTACGGAATCAGTGTTCATTCTAAGTCCAGTTTCCAAACAGTTCACAT